AAACGAAGGCACAGCAGAGCCACCTGAGGCCCCATCGCCAGAAATCAGCCAGCTTCAATCTACAGAGTTTTTTCTCTGCAGGTAAATGAGGTAATCATCTGTGAGCGTCCACAGAGAGAGACGGGAGATAAAGAGCCGGCTGCTTGTGGGAGGCTCGGCTTTGAAAAAGAATCCATCCATGAGCCGCTGAGTTTAACGGCACTGATGCTCTTCTTCTCCCTCGGCATCCGCCCTCCAGACATCCACCTGAGACACTCTGCAGAACTGCTGATGGAGGAGACATGACAGTCTGTTCTCTGTCTCTCTTTTGTCAGTCTGACTCTGTGTGATCATCTTCAGTATCTCTGCTTCACTCACATCTCAGATATGAATCATCTACATGCTTTTCTTCATCACTTCTCGCGCTGAACATCACACCGCTCCTGTGGGAGACTGAGCCTGATCATTTAATCTCAATGATCTTAATTTAATCTCAGAGAGGCAGGAGAGCCGGCGTGTAATGAAGTGACACATTAACCCAACTTACAGAGACTCAATGAGTGTGCATGAGTGTTCAGGTTTATATACGTCTCTGGAAGGATCCTCCTTTTATTCAAACCTTGAAATTAAAAGTATTTATTATTTTGTGTTCAGTATCGTCCTCCCTCACAGCCACTGATCAACATCTTCCACCAACACAAGTCATGATGCCACATTATTTGGACTGATTCCTACATGACAAACGAGACGTTGGCACCGTGATCCTCAACTCTTAGAAACCGCTAAAGGGATGGTGCATGAACCCTGAGATGGTTTAATAATAATAACAAGTTTATAGAAAATGTTAAAATAGGTTTAATAAACCTCAATTAGAAGGTAATATTCCCTGTTTTCTAAAGGTTTTTTGTTTGGCACAGGACCGTGGATAGAGCCAGACACCAGAGAGAGAGAGAGAGAGAGAGAGAGAGAGAGAGAGAGAGAGAGAGCGAGAGAGAGAGAGAGAACAGCCGCCCGCTCGGAGGACTGCAGCCTCCGTTCATGTGACATGTGCACCAACCACTAGCCTCCCTGCGCCCTCAATCGTATTTTTTTTAATGTCACGGCTAACTTCTTGATGTAAAGGCCGAATTATAAACAAGAATTTAAAAAGTTATAAACTCTCCGTGCAATGCAGCAGTTTCATGTTCTGTTTTAGATTCATGTTAAAATTGCATTAGTGCTTAAAAAAAATATTAGAACTGTCAAAAACTGCAAGCAGAGCACGTTTGATTTTCATATTTTTAAAGCTGCACAGGCCAGGTGTCAGAGATGGAGATCAAGAACATGGATTATTAGCAGAAACGTTGCAGCAGTAAAACCTGAAAAGAAAAAAAAATGAAGGGAACAACAAACCAAAACAGAACCAAGATCTGTACTAGGAAGACCATGTTTACTGCTCGTTTGAATCCCTCTCCAGGGCTTTGAGCTGGGGAGGATTCAAATGAAACATGTTGGTCTAATAAAGTTCTCTGACCTCGTCAAGACTTTCTCCATGCAGCTTGGAAGTTGGTGAAGTTATGCTAGAAAACCTCTGCTCTGCTTCTTTTGTGAGGTTTAAAGAAGATCACTTTCTCAGTCAGCTGTGTTCTCTGTGTAATCTTTTTGGATTTTTTTTCTCCAGTGTGGACTTTATTCAGTTGAGTGGAGTCACAGAAAGTTCAAAGAAGGAATTGTCTCCTGCGGTAAAAAAGAACGACGCGGGAGTGTTGGACAAAGCAGCAGAGTCCTCTATACAACACTATAATGAGAATATGTGTCTTTCTATCAATGCTGTGTAGTTGAAGAGAATCTGAATGTGAACTAAAGAGTGGAGAAGAACATAAACGTCACCACCCCCTCCCACTCGCTCCAGGTGAATTCTCCTGATTATATCCTGCTGCGTTCTCACATCAGCTCACTCTGACTTTCTGCAGAATAAATACCAGGAGGCTGGAGGAGAAACTCCAGGTGAAGAGAGAAACATTCAGATGTTTGTGTTCACACATTACGCTCCTCCTGGAGATATCAGAAGTTTTTCGGGAGTTTTCTGCAGGTGTGAAGGCAGTACTGTTTAAGTTTGATATTTGCATTTAATATTTTTATTTCAATGCAAATGTGAAGTATTTCATTATCAAATACTGTCACCTTCAGTAACTTTAAGTTTTAATGCTCGTGTTGAACCCTGCTCAGGCTGTTTTGTTTAGCCAACAGTGTCCTGAAAGCGGTTTACATCATGAGGGATGTTTCAGTCCCCATGTTGTTGTTTTACAGGCTGTTATTGTCGCCCCTAAATATTTTGCACCAGATAAGGCTGACTGGGCTGACAAATGATTTGAAAGTGGAAACATCATTCAAACAAAGAAGCTTCATGCCTGATCCTGTGATAGTAATGTAACAGAAAAGAGACAAACTGTAGTTATTGCATGATTCTTTAGAGACATGGGATCTTTCAGAGCGTCCTCAGTGTGAGTCTGGGAGGATTTCTCCTCGGTGTGGACGAATGCGCCGGTGTCACGGGGCCTCTGGGAAATCATTAATGTTCCAGGTGACGCTGAGCGCTGCAGGCGGCAGATGTGGGGACTTGTTAGGAACTTTATCTGCCATTGTACCCTTCAACAGACTTCACTCTTAATTAGGTCTCCATGGATACGACGAGGCATCTGGACTCTTTGCTGATGAATGAACTGAATCATGTCCTTTTGTGCACCAGTGTCTCACACACACACACACACACACACACACACACACACACACACACACGGCTCTTTATCTCCACCTTGTTTAAGTAGTCTCACACTAATGGCATGCAGATATCTGTGTCACCCGCAGCCTGTTGGAGCTATAACTCCATCTAGTGGTCGTTTTTTATACTGCATGAGAAAAAAACCCATGCTTCTGCATTGCACTCACTGCAGCAGCATGACTGTCGAGCCCCCCTGTGAGCTTTTTGTTCCACATTCATGCTGCACGCAACACAAGTCCTTTCTGCCTCGGCTCATCCATCACTCCACCTCTTTGTCTAACTGCTCTCCTCTGTGCATCGACTCTGCATCTTCCTGCAGACGTGTCATTGATTGCTCAGTGTACAGTTTATAAGCTCTCGTTGGTCCGACCGGCCACAAGATGTAAAAATCAATGGAGCCGTGAGGAGCTCAGTGGACGATGAGCTGGGGGAGTTTATCCAACCACAATCTGATCAGATACGGAGAGACTGCACATAAAAAATACTCAGTGGAGCCATTAGTTATAAATGTTAAATGTTCTCATAAAAAGGAGATTTTAAAGCTGCATTAATCAATGTTTTTATATAAATAATGGTTCACTTTATGAGGTGCAAAATGTTTCTCATGGTGAAAAAGGAGGAGAGTTGACTCCACTCTGCACTTTCTTCAGCTCTTGTTGGTTTTAAAAATAACTGCTTTCAGATCTTTTTTGGCTGCTGTGCTTGGGTAAGGAACACCACAGTGTTTGGCAATTTCTCTCAACTCAATTTTTCGGTAGTTTTGGAACTGGGTCAGCGCGGGATTAGACTCAATCTCATCCACATTCAAAGTTGCGAAACTCATCGAGAAACAGTGCTGCGAGGCCCGAAGCTGCCGGCACTGAGTCTGTTTGGTGAGGCTTCTGCTACGACAATTTACACACCTGTACCAGTTACCTGATGTTGGATGGAGCACACAGAACCCAGAGGAAAATATGAGCCAGACTTCAAGATACAACTTGAGCAAAACTTTACCTTCTGCAGGAGTTTTACAGACTGACTTGCAAAAACCAGTAGCCCCCCCTTAAGGGAAATATACCCCCCTGCTCCCCCCAGTGATTACCCTGATTATAAGTAAGGCAAGATAAAGATAAAGGAAGGACTGACTAATCCTGAACATGGATATCACCATCTGAATCAAGGAAGTCGTTTGAACATTTTACAAAACATCAGGAAATCTGATGGGAACTCCACAAAGAAAGGACCGGTCTGATGGGGATCGGACCAGGATCCTTCTAACCACAGCACCACCATGTAGCCTTCAGATCCTCCCTGATGGTGTTGAATGCTTTTGACATGCTATTGATGTATTTAAAGGTTCCTAATAAGTCAGCTGATCTCAGTATTTACCCTGAAGGGAAGATGTGTGGAGGGTGATCCGCTGCATTTCCTCACACTTCATCAAACAGACTCTATGTGCTTTAAAAAAAATCTGTTTTATTCACATTTTAAAGCTGATTGAAGGTGAAACATAAAAAAAAACATTTACAGTTCCAGTACCATGAGAGACAAACATGAGGAATGATTAAAAACACAATTTCAGGACATTTTAAAGACTATTAAGTGAGTCGTCTAAAAATAAATACAAGAAGAAACACACTGGAATGAAGTTCAGATGTGGAATGTGTTTTAGTGAACCACTGAGGTAGATGTCGAGGTTACAATCATTATTATCTCCCTGTGTGGTGTTAGCTTCATCAACACGTTTAGAAAAAACAAAATAAAAGGATCAAATGAATCCTGCAGACTGATAAAAGTCTTACCGACATGTTTTAAAGGCACAAAAACAAGTAAGAAGGAATGATTTATGTCTTAAAGGAGCAGTATGTAACTCTGACCCCTAGTGTTTAAAATGGGTACTGCAGCCCAACTCAAAACATTATAGAGAGCTGTATCCCCCCCCTCCTCTTTAGTGTCGATGCTCACACAGGTTGCCATGTGGTGGACACTGAAGCTTCAGTGTTTATCCAGCTCTGCATCGGTCTGTAAACCTTTCTGCGTTCTAACCTCTCTCCATTTTTCAAAAGCATCTCCAATATTGATCCTAGTTTGAGCACGTTTCTGCTCGTGGAGCTTATTAGAAACATGCAGAGGCTTTTTAGGTCGGGTACAATCACTTCCATCTGAACCACTTCTCTTGCCCGCTTCCATCGCTGCAACACCTGTTGGTTTGACCCGATAACTGTTCTCATATCGTCTACCTTCTCTGGTCCAAACAAATCCAGAGCATCCAGGAGCAGAATCTAAAGTTAGAGGGAGGACATACTGGCTGCTGCATTGTTGTCAGAGAAGCCAGCACTTCAACACAGCATGTTTCTGATCACCAACACAGGAAAAACATTCAGTGCTCCCACATTGTAACACAATCTCCTTCTTCCAGATTTATATTTCCTGTAGATGAAGCACAAGAGCTGTATCATTTCAAATGGCTTCTTATCTTTGTAAACTGTTTACGACTGATCATATAGTAAGCTCACTTTATCATTCTAGTAAATATCTTACACATTGCTCCTTTAAAGCGTCTTCAGGTCGCTCTGTTTTCAGACAATCTCACTTTAAACAACACAACTTTTCCTTTCAACAATCCTTTGGGCAGTGACATTGATAAAGTGCTCAGAAGTGAACTGTGGTCATTTAGTATCAAAGAAAAATAAACTCCTATTCCAGCGGTGGCACACAGTTTTTTTTTTTTTAAAGTACCCTTTTCATAAAAAAATAAGACATCAGCACAAACTAAAAGCAGCTGACAGCAGTTTGGAGAGATGGAGACAAAGCTGCAGCCTGAAGCAGAAGAAGAAGAAGAAGAGAACATAATCTACTTTCGATTCTTTTCTACCCTCTGAAAGAACTCTTTAGGGGAAACATTGAGTCAGTATAAATGTCCTTTAAATGTCTTTTCTCTTCTTTAAATCCAGTGAAGGCAGATTTTCTCTGACAATATGTCATACAAGAGGAGGTACAGTAAGTCACAGACTTATTTCAGTACAGGTTTTCTTCAGTGAGGGCGTCTGAAAAAAGACAGAGAATACAATCAGTGACACGTAGCTTCAGATTATGTAAACTACAGGGGATTATGATGAGGTCAGAGGAGGTTTTTCTCCAGGAGGATTACCTTGCTGAAGGACTCTCTGCATGTAGTGGTTGAGTTGATGCAACTCAGTGTTGGCGTCATGGCGTCCCAGCTGCAAACTGAAGGGATCCATGAACGTCTCAGCAGGCAGCAGCTCCTCTCGGAGTGTCGGGGGGACATCGAGGAGCTGCTCCTCCACCTGATTGGACTCTCTCCTGCTGCACAACAGACCCGGCTGGTAGCTGGGGGAAATGAAACCTGGGTTGGCCATGTTCAGGTCTTTGAGGATGCTTTCGAACAAGCAATCGTCGAGGACCTGCTCGTGCTTCAGAGGAAGGGGAGGGGCGGGAGGAGGTGGAGGAGGAGGCCAGTCGCACGCAGTTGTAGGTCTGGCCGTGTTTTGAAGCGGGTTCAGCGAGTGAGACGCCGCAAAGCTGCTCGCCAGAGAGGAGATCTGCTGGGCCAGGATGCTGATCTCCACCTGCTCCCTCTCACTGAAGTCACACTCTGAGGAACAGGGAGACTGGTTGGGGGTGAGAAGACTGGAGTGTAACGGCAGCACAGGTCGGGGAACATGCTGCATGTGCACGTGGCTGCCCCCTTGTGGCTGCTGGAGGAGGTCCTCTTGATGCAGAGCACAGTCCACTGAGCTCTCACACATGTCAGACAGAGACAGGCAGTCTGGGACTAAGCGAACATCTGATGCACAAGTTTGGAAATCAAATGTCGGCGATGATGACGAGGAGAGAGGAGCGAGGGCGACGAAGGCTGCCTGCTCGAAGGTTTGTTCAGCGGCTGAAGGCGGGGGGGCCGAGGGTGAGTGGTGACAGGTGAACGCTGCCGCCTCTGGGAAGGAGCACTCAGGGGAGGACAGCAGCTGATCTGTGTACCCGTGCACGTCCATCAGGAGGTCACGGCTGAGCTCCTCCTGCAGAGAGGAGCAGGAGGAGGAGGCGGGGCTGTAGGGAGGGGTGAAGAGTGCAAGGCTGTCACCTGAAGGAGCAGGTGAGCTGTCGCCTTGGGAGGAGGCGCACGCCACAAAGTAAACGTCTCTGTCCGACTCCCTTGCGGCTCTGGCACTTTGCTCCTCACTTTGGCTGTCAGACGTCCTCCGCCTTTTAAAACATTTAGCGCTGCTGTGACTCTGAGGCGCGTGTTGAGCTGCAAAGTGGCAGGACGCGGATGGTTTGAAGGCTTCGCTGCTTATCTTCTTCTGCAGAAATCTGGCCTCTGTTTCACTGAAAAAAAAAAAAAAAAAAAAAAAAGACAAAGTTAGTGTTTGCAACTTGGAGAAGTTTTCTTACACTGTCATCTCCGCTCTCCTGGAAAAGTTAGGTTTTTTCTTTTTTGTACCTGATCATGAAGTTTGTGCAGCTCATGCCCTGAAACTCGGAGAGCTTGTTAGCCTGAATGTAGATCCAGGTCCATGACAGATCTTTGCACTGCAGCCTGAGCACCATCTCTACCTGGAAGCCTTCGTCTGCACGCACTGGACGGGACAGAGGAAGAAACACTCAGGGTTATTTTAATGCATACACAAATAATGACAAGAACAGAGAGACATCAGGCCTGTGTCTCTGCATGCAGAGGTGACAAGAGTTCATACTCAAGTAGAAGTACAGATATGTGTGATTGAAAAGCTAACTGATGCTCAGCTCATATTGGAGAAACTGAAATCATTCAAACTTCAAATCAAAGATCAACAGAGTGAAAATAATCCATGTTTCTTCGTCATGGGGATGGAGAATGTCTCTTTACTCTGCGTCTCTCTTCTTGTCTGTTTCATCTTCCTACACATTTCATGTCATTATTTAAATCCTGCGTCCGTCCTATATGATTTTCCCTGACAGACACCAGACAATGATCTTTTCTTATGTGTTATTGTTCATCCATTGAGGCTAAAATCAGTCTGGATGTTATGAAGGCAGCATGCAAAGATGCTTTAAAGCTGAAGTAAGGAGCCTGTTTAATAAACATAAGGTGAAGAAGGTTCAGAGATTTTGTTTTGAAATGCAGGATGTTCGAAAGTAGGAAGATCACGGAAACATAAAAACAAATGTAAAGGACAGTCACCTGAAAAGTTATCATGGGTGTGTTACCAAAGAATTGGTGTTTTGTTCATTCCCATTCCCACCTAAACAATCTGAGCTGATGTGTGAGTGTTGGGGTTCTCCTGCAGGTCATGGCACACTTACTCAGACTTCTGTGAGACTCTGCACTCAGCGACAGATCTTCAGGGTGGACCAGGCTGTACCACGAGCGGCCGCACAGATCTTCAGACGAATACCCCAAAACATACCAAACACTGGAAAAAAAAAAGAGAGACATGGAAGTGTTTGTCAGCAAACAGAAGAAAGGACATTTTATTGACAGGTGTTTAAAAGAGGGGGCGGGGCTTGTGGGTTTACCTGTCTGACAGCTGGGTGAAGGTCATGTCTGCTCTGTGGACGCTGCTGAAGCAGAGAGAGAAGCTGGAGTCTGAGCTCTGCAGGCGGTTCAGCGTGGGGGTGCAGAGGGCCACAAACAGAGGTTGTGCGGAGGGCGCGGGGGCCGCTGAGGAGGGGGACGGGCGAGGGTGAGGAAAAGAGCGGAATCTTCCTCTGACCAGCACGGAGCAGCAGCCGCCGCGCTGCAGCTTGAAGGCTTTGGAGGTTTGCATACGACACACAAAGCTCCTCTCTGAGGGGAAACAACGGGCATGTTTACATCTCACACACTCAGAATGAAAGGATTTAAACGTGTTTTAAAATGTTGCATAACGACGTTTAAGAGAGAGACGAATCCTTTAAACCGACCTGGTGATGAGTTGTTTTCAACGTCCAGATTTGATCGGACAATATCGACATCATCGTGTTCCACCATGTCGTAGAAAGTGTCTCCTTGAAGCACATCGAGCTGCAGAGAGAAACCGTTCCACTGTTAGATTCAAGCTGAACATGCAGTAAACTGCTCATATGTGCCTTTATCTTGTGATTTATTTTAGTTTTTATCTCTTTAAATTCATCCAGAAAGAGTTTACATTAACAGAGAGGAAGGGTTAAAGGTCAGAGCGTCAATGTCTTCTTCTGTGGTGCCTTCAATAAAGTATTTTCTTCCTCTTTCTTAATATGAGCGTCATCAATCTGATCTCATTTATAATCCTGATTTATCTTCATATTTATCACATTCTGTCCAAAACTTTCAGTATCCTGAGCGTGCTCTGAAAGCTGGAGCGGGGGCGACCTTTGACCTCACACAGCTCAGACGTGGACAGTGACGCCCACAGACACTCACATTAATGTGACGTAGTATAAACATGCTCACCATGGAAAAGCCCAGATATTCAGACACGTTTTCGGACACGTAGACCAGCCTGCCCTGCGCCGTGGTGACCAGGATGAAGCCGTGCAGCGCCGGGAGAAAGGCCTCGTACGGAGGAGAGCGGTCTGATGAGTCAGCAGCAGCAGAGAGTCCTGAGAGAGGAGCAAACAGAGAGGTCAGAGGAGGAGAGGAAACCAGGTGGAGACTAAAGTTTAAGAGTCACAAACGATGACGGTGAACTCCTGCAGCAGCAGCAGCTTTAACTCTCATGATGTGGATCCTTCAGTCCAGCAATACGAGCTGTTTGTTTGAGTGTTTAATTAGTGCGACAAGAGTCCTGCTGTGGAGGTAGACACATTCCCCAAGGGAACAATAACATTTATCGTATCGTATGAAGTCCTGCCGTATCGTTATCTTTGCACCTTAATTCATTTTAGGGCTCCTAAATCTGCGCCATCAGAACTGTACTCACATTTGCTTTAAAATGAAAAGTTACAGTTTGATCTTGATGCTCTCTGGTGGATTATTTTATGGGGACAAAATTCAGAATTTGTCAGTAGAAGTCAAACGTAAACATCCCTGCCCTCGCTTTTCTTTGATTAACTCTTAAATGATTCCAACAAATTCTCAAATGTATTCACAACTCATAGACAGACAAGTATCCTCAGAGGATTTACCACCTAAAAGAGAATCAATAAATAACAACCCCAGCGTATTAACGATCCTGACATCCATCCAAGTGTTACAAAATAAATAGAAACACTGGTTAAAACCTCCTCTCCTCGTCCAAATACCTGCAGGAAACTTCTGCTTTTACACTGATTTATATTTGTGCTTTGTTTCCACCTCAAACCCTGAAATACTCTCATGATGTGTTAATTATGAAACTGTAAACTATCCTGACCCGGAGAAGGAGCGTTAGGACGCTAAACATAACAACATATTTCACCTCTTGAACTCGTCGTACTCTGTGAACATGCCGTAGAAACGATCCCCAGGAGATGCATCAACCATCGATATCCATTGTTATCCTTATTCATCATTTTAAAGACGTACTTTAAGAAGTCAGCTGGTTAACCCCGACCTGCACTCAGGACTCTCGCTGAGCTCAAACCAAAGCTGACGGTCTGATTGCATCTTTATAACAACAATACAAAAAACAATAACTCCATTGAAATAGAAAACAACTGATGACAAAGTGCAACGCAAAGGCTTGTCTCTTTCTACAGGAACATCAGGTGTTTGTTAGAGTATCACCTGAGAAGAAGTCAGCACTTTAACAAGTGTCCATGTGGACTCTTCTGTGAAACAGTTTGTATCACATCAAACAGACTAGATGTGTCTCTTTGGTAGTCAGATAAACTTCTTCTTAGTCAGCAGATTTCAACTTTCTGAGTAACTTTCCCGCCTGTGATCCGAGGCATGCAGACTCACCGGGCAGGAACACAGACTTCCTGATGAAGGTGCAGATGGCGGCCATGGAGTGCAGGTAGGACAGTCGCTCCTGGTCGTCCTGGCCGATGGGCAGCAGAGTGCGCATGATCCTGATCTCGTGGTTGATGTGGTCCCGCCGGGCTTTGGAGGCCCCTTTGGTGGATCTGTGAGACACCATGGTCACGGAGGTCAAGAGAGTTGAGCGAAATCTGAGGAAACTCAAGTTCTTCCTACTGCCGAGGTTCAAAAGATCTGCCTGCAGTCATCCTCTCCAAGTGTTAGAAAAAGAAACACAGAAAAAGGAGATTGGTTGGAGCCTCTTTCTCGGGCTGCAGCAGAGTTTGAATATCAAAGGTTCCTATGGAAACTGCTGATATGAGCGTGAGTGTGTGTGTGTGTGAGCAGCAGAGATGAGGCTCTCTCTCAGCAGACTGTGTGTGTGTGTGTGTGTGTGATCAGTATCTGTCCTGGTTTTTATAGCTGTCAGAGCTTCAGCGTGGGCGGCTCACTCAGAGGGAGGCCGGCCTTCTGCTGCTGCCTCATTACCTTATAAAGTGGGAGTCCTCTGAGTGGGTGCTCACGTCACCACACACACCACAGAAGGAGAGATTTACCCGTTTGCATCCCTGCATCTCATCAATAAAGACCCGTTCATATTTTTATAATTACAGACTAAAATAGACTCCCAGCAGTTATATGAGTAGAGTATTTATATTGTTTCTGCTGACCTGGTGTGTTGAAGATTAATTTTTAAAGACGTGTAGTCACCTGAAAACTCCTCTAATTATTCTCTGTGATGCTGCTCTTTGATTTAAAGTTATTTTTATATTTTCTTTGTGTTTTCATTTTCTGTGTTATTTTATGTTTGAATTTTGCCGAAAACTGTGTATGGTTCTACTGTGTGTGTGTGTGTGTTCAAATGTTTACTTGCTGCTGTTTTCTTTTGTGCTGACTAAAGAAAACACTCTGAAGAAAAACTTTACTGAGAAAAACATTTTTTTTGGAAGGCCGATTTTGCACCAGAGCAGCTCAATGGATCAATGCAGCTGCAGCATGCATGTAAACTGGATAATTATATTTATAAATATATATCACTCACACACACACACACACACACACACACACACACACACACACACACACACACACACACACACACACACACACACAACACACAACACACAAGTTGTAACTTTGCTGCAGACTGGAGAAAAGTGGATTAAAGGCTCCCTGTGGAGCAGCACCGCAGGCAGCAGCAGCAGAGCAGCTCGGTCCACATTTTCTCAAAACAGTCATGTGTTGATTCAGCCACCAGAGGACATTGAGCAGAGAGGAGGAGGAGGAGGAGGAAGAGGAGGAGGAGGAGGAGGAGGAGGAGGAGGAGGAGGAGGAAGAAGAGGAGGAGGAGGAAGAGGAGGAGGAGGAGGAGGAGGAGGAAGAAGAGGAGGAGGAGGAAGAGGAGGCGGAGCAGAGAGGTGGAAGAGGAGGAGGAGGAGCAGAGAGGAGGAAGAGGAGGAGGAGGAGGAGGAGGAGGAAGAGGAGGAGGAGGAAGAGGAAGAGGAGGAAGAGGAAGAGGAGGAGGAGAGGGGAGGAAGAAGAAGAAGAGGAGGAGGAGGAGGAGGAAGAAGAGTAGGGGGAAGGGGAGGCGGAGCAGAGAGGTGGAAGAGGAGGAGGAGGAGGAGCAGAAAGGAGGAAGAGGAGGAGGAGGAGCAGAGAGGAGGAGGAGGAGGAGCAAAGAGGAGGAAGAGGAGGAGGAGGAAGAGGAAGAGGAGGAGGAGGAGGAGCAGAGAGGAGGAGGAGAGGGGAGGAAGAAGAAGAAGAGGAGGAGGAGGAGGAGCAGAAATGAGGAGGAGGAGGAGGAGGAGGAGGAGGAAGAAGAGGAGGAGGAAGGGGAGGCAGAGCAGAGAGGTGGAAGAGGAGGAGGAGGAGGAGCAGAGAGGAGGAAGAGGAGGAGGAGGAGCAGAGAGGAGGAGGAGGAGGAGGAGCAAAGAGGAGGAAGAGGAGGAGGAGGAAGAGGAAGAGGAGGAGGAGGAGGAGGAGGAGGAGGAGCAGAGAGGAGCAGAGAGGAGGAGGAGAGGGGAGGAAGAAGAAGAGGAGGAGGAGGAGGAGCAGAAAGGAGGAGTAGTCACTGACCTGAACCTTCTGCAGGAGGAGCTGCAGGGTTTTCCTGGCCAGAGGTTGAGGAGGTGCACGGAGCGCTTACATAATGAATTGTGACCCTGATGGTTGAACATTCAGAGTCAGGACGGATGAATTACATCTCAATAATGAATCCAATCTGAAGAAAACATTAACAAGTTCAAAGTTATAGGCCTTGTGAGGAGAAACTTTCTGCATGTTATCTAGGTCGTTCAAATATTCAACACACTGACACTTTTCCAATCTGTGAGTTTTAAAATGATATAATCTCTGTGATTTAAATGATCAATAGAGTAAAGAAAGTACAGAAACTCTAATAAACTTCATCTTTATCTAACAACACCTGCATGTTTTTCAAGCAGGAGCAACTTGGGGTTAAGTGTCTTGACCAAGGACACATCAGACATGTGACTGGAGGAGCTGGGGATGGAACCCCCGACCTCCCGGTTGAGAGATGGCAGACTCTACCGCTGAGCCACAGCCGCCCGTCCACATCACTGAACAAAGACTTTAAACTGATTGTTGGACAAATAGATAAAGGGACTTTGATGTCTTACCTGTGCACGCTGCAGTCTGATGATAAGTGTCTGTTCGTTTCTTCCTTTGAAAGTCTAAACCTGTGGCGGCAGTGGCCTAGTGGTTAGTGTGCACACCCCATGTACAGAAGCTAAAGTCCTAAAAAGCGGGTGGTCCAGGTTTGAATCCAGCCAGTGGCTCCTTTCCCACCAGTCATTCCCCACTCTCTCTCTCTCTCTCTCTCTCTCTATCCGTCCTGTCTCTAAATAAAGACAGAAGAAAGATTTTTAAAAAGCTTAAAGCGGGACCCCTCATGTCGTACTCAGCTGGTGGGGGGGATTAGAAACCTCTCCATGGGGATGATGATGTTGCTCGTTGTGACGTGGTGATAATAAAAACAGATGGATCCGGGTTAAATTGAGTGAGGGGATCTAAAAATAAGGCGCAGGAAGTGATTCAGGGATTCAAAGAGGCAGAGTGTGTCATTATTACATCATGAAGAGGAACGTTTCACCTGCGCACATCAGACAGTTTTAAGGTGACAAGACGATATCAGACACGTTTGTTTATTTTGACTGTTTATGATTCAAACTGTGAAGCTTTATGTCGTTTTTAGTCCCATGTTCTGTCGAGCTGAAAAAGACAAAATAATGATCAGCTATTTTCTGTAGGAGTTTAAAACTTGTCATAAACTTCACATAAAACAGCCTGAGATGAATACTGACGTAAACAAAGTAAACCAGACCTTCAGGAAGAAGACAGATTATTTCTGATCAGTAAGTTTTTAACCTGTGTGTCACTGCCACGGGTTGAGATTTACAGAACGTGGACCAGACGTGCCTTTACATTACTCATTTGTTGTTTGATTAGAGAATGAGACTCTGTACAGGAGAAGGAAACAGAAAATCACTGAGACCTGAGAGATGTGATCCTCACAGTTCAGTCTCCTCTCTCTCTCCTTCTCTCTCTCCTTCTCTCAGTGCGAGCTCAGAGCAGCTCCACGTCTCCTTGTTTAATCTGTGAACAGACCTCGCAGGCTCTCGGCCGTGGCAGAGTTTCTACAAAGAGATTTCAGCGAGTCTGTTAGTCGCTCCATTAAGACGCTGCTGGAGGAGAATGAAGCTGCAGGTCTGCAAACGTGACGCACTGAGGCTGAGATCACAGCATCACAAACTGTGACTCACGCTCGATTTAAAGAGTTTTATTAAAGGATGACTCGAGTCCTCATGAAGCTACTTTTAGGACTTTAAGAGGACAGGGTCCAGGGGTCTGAAGTGGGGTAGTATGAGGTATTAATAGTGAGCCTTTCACCTGCTGTAGATAAAGGTGAGCATGTCTCCTCTTCGTAATAATAATGATAATAATATTAGTGTTGTTGTAGTCAAGACCACACTAATCGAGCCAAGAGAGACCCTGAGACCAGAGTGCTCCGAGACCGAGACCGAGACCGAGACCAAGACCAAGACCAAGGCAGGGCTAGACCGAGATAAGACTTCAATGATTGAGACCGAGACAAGACCAAGACATACCCGAGACCAGAGTCCTCCGAGATTGAGACAAGACCAAGACATTTAGGGATCGAGACCGAGACAAAACCAAGACCAAGACCATGAATATCTCTGAAAAATCATCCTCTTGTGTTTAGGGGGCGTGTCATTCACTTAGACCGTAACACAGGGAAGGTTGTGGTCGTAACCCGGGGGAAAAAAATCTAACTACAAATGAACTGAAGTTATGAGTTATTTTAGAAAGAGGAGGTGGTTTTGGCCGGTCTTGATTTAAAATCCGGAGTCCGCCCAGTCTGAGACCGAGACAAGGCCGAGTAAACATGTTTTAGATTCAGAGATGAGGCCGAGACCTTCAAGAAGTGGTCCTGAGACCAAGACGGGTTCAAGTACTACAACAAGAAATAAAACATTGAATTTATTTAGTGACTTCCAAAGGACCCAAGGACGCTTCACACAAACAATAAACAAAAACTAAAGGATGGGAGCCTCTATGAAATCTTCTCTGATGATAAATACCTCGTACACTCAAAATAAAAAATACTCTGATCTATCATTGAATGTCTGCATGGAGACTTGAAAAGAGGGCTTTTTTCTGTTTCACTTATTTTTGAACACGTTTAAATTAACTAACTCCAGCTTCAGTCCTCTGAGGGCGCGTTGCTCTTTAATGCATCGTCTTCTTCTTAAATCCCCCTCTGAGTGGTCTGAACGACGCCGGGAGCAGAGAACTAGAACTTGAGTGAGGGAATCTCACCGGGACGGGGGGGAGACAAAACAAATCACTCCGAACAAATCCTCAGTCTGATTGTGAAGGGCCGCAGGGACGGTCTGGGTCCTGGAGGGAAATTAGAGAGTCATTTAGCTGAGTGTCTCCTCGCATTAACGCCTGCGTCGCTGGCCCTGCAGGCTCCGGGGCCAGACAGAGGGACCCAGCACAGCCACCCTTCCTGTGTGCGGCGGGGGGCCAGGCGGGACAGGGTGTCTCTGCTCCCTCGCTTTAAGCTGACCCCACGTCTGTGGCCTGCACTTAACACTGCAGATAACAGCGGCTTTATAGCAGGCGGCTGCTGACAGACAGGAACAAACTGCTGCAGCTCAGCATCAGACTGGAGCTGAGGTTCAGGGTGAGACATTTTCTACTGAGGGACCCCCCCCCCAAAAGCAGCCGCACGCGTCCCATTAGGGGAGACTGACAGGCAGTGTGTGTGTGTGTTGGGGGGGGGGGGTTGGGTGGCACCGTGGCTTCAGAGCACCCACAGAAGTAGACGAGAGGGCCGTTAGAGGAGCAGATTCAGCTCTGTGAGTTTCTGCAGGAAGCAGAGCTGCAGAGTTCAAAGGCTGCCGAGCGATTAACGACACGTACAGACGCTCTGGAAGAAGTATTGAAGGGTTAACGTTTCCCGTTTCAGAGGCTGACATGCAAAAATTACGATAAGAATGTGTTATTACACCCAAAACTGAGATATTAGACAATAGATGCAGGCAATGCAAACACATTTAGCTATATGCACGCTGAAGTCAGGGTCAGTAATTCGTCAACAGACTTCTCACAAACTCATCTACAACTCCAATATCAGATGTTTGAACTGGCGACTTGTTTAGGACGGTTGTAGAAGCAGCATGGAGACTGGATCTGAGGTTCAGGGTGAGACACTTTCTCATGATGGGACAGCGAGGACGAGCAGACCAGCTGGCTGCTGCAGATTCAGCTCTGTGTGTGTGTGTGTGTGTGTTTCTGCAGGAAGCAGAGCTGCAGAGTTCAAAGACCTGCGAGCGGCTAACGACACGTACAGAAGCTCCAGGAGGAGAGCGCAGAGATAAGGAGGAGGAAATCAGAAAGCACCTGGCGTTTTATGATTATTGAATCTTGAAGTTAGAAAGAGCTGCAGCTTTAACAACACCGTTCACTATCATGGTCAGGAATTTTTAGGATTAGTTTTTGGGCCTTGTGCTTTTCTAGTAAATCTACAGAGACAGGAAGTGTTGGAGAGAGAGTGAGGCATGAGATGCACCATGAAGCGTCCGGATCAGGGCCCACAGAACCTGCACGTTTGATTTGAACGTGTAAAAGGTCACGGTAGCAAACACAAAGCGCCTCTTCTCAGTTGACCGAGTTGACAGCCAGCTGATGTCATCGATCGACCTCCATGATTATTTTTCTTTTGAAGTCTCATTTGATCGCTCGAGTTTCTGTGAGATCGTTCCTACTAACAGCCGGTGTGTGGTCTCGTGGTCTGAGTCGTCTAACGTGTCTGTTCAGAGGATTATAACGTTAAGAATCAGCTGAAACTGTCCTCATCTCTGTGGTCGCCCACATTTAAAAAAAAATAAAAAACAGTTTCGAAAAGAAAACAGTGTAGTGCAGTGGTTCCCTACCTTTTTTGCTTGTGACCCCACTCTTACGATAGATTTTCTCCGGAGTTGAAAGTAAACATTGATCTTAGACACATTCAGTCTGTTTGGTGTTTATTATCGTGACAGAGACACAGACAGAGACTGCAGGTTCTGGATTTGGCCCACAGCAGCCTGTGTTCAATGTATTTAAATATACAATATATTTTTTATCGCTCAATTAATTCAAATTCCATGCGACCCAACATGGGGTCGGGTAGACCTGATCAGGTGTGTAGTCAGCCCTATGAACACTCCCAGGTCCCTGAGCCAGCAGTTTGACCCCCCGTGGTGCAGAATGACAATGGCGTAATACCAATGTTTGTGTATTTGTAACGGAGCTGAATCAGAGAGCAAATAACAAAAAACACTGACTGACAGACTGATGAAAGAAATCATCGTTACGCTCAATCGGTTCTGAAAAAGTCTGTAAAACCGTTTCACATCTGCACTCCTGAAAATATCTAGATAATCAGATATCCTCCTGACTTGGCTGTTCACATATGCACTCTCCCTGTCAGACTGGAGGGGTGGGGGGGTGGGGTCATTAAGGTCAATGCTGTGTAGTTGAAGAGAATCTCAATGTGAACTAAAGAGTGGAGAAGAACATTCTGGAGAACAGGAAACATAATGCAGCAGGTTCATTAGAGCACAGAGATGGTAGAGGTGGCGTGCAGACAGTCTATGGTCGTGCAGTGATCACAGGGAATAAACGTCACCACCCCCTCCCACTCGCTCCAGGTGAATTCTCCTGATTATATCCTGCTGCGTTCTCCCATCAGCTCACTCTGACTTTCTGCAGAATAAATACGAGGAGGCTGGAGGAGAAACTCCAGGTGAAGAGAGAAATATCAGGAGTGTGTGTTTAAGCTCTATAAATGAAGATGAATGAAGTACACACACACAGACGTTTCTTCCAATTGTCTCAGATTTATTATTGATACAGTTATAAAGCATATTGCACAGGAAGTCCTGACCAACCTCGCCATAAACAGAGTCCCCTCTGAAGAACGTGTCGAATATAAAACGAAATAAAAACAGTAAGTTTTAAGTGATTCCAAACACACTCCATACTTTGTTCTGTTTTGCGTTTTTAACAAGCATTCTTTGTTGTCTCTGAATTATTCAACCATCTACACAAAGCCCTAAAGATAAAATACACTGTTGGCATGAAATCAGTCCGCTGACGCGCTCCGGCGTGGCATTAGTCACGGCTCGCTCGGAGAAGCTGGCTCACGATTTGACGATGCTCTGCTCGCGGCACAAACTTTTTTTTTTTTTTTAAACGCCGTTTCTTAAGATGAAGATGAAAGAGGAGCTTCAGAAACAGCGTTCAAAACAGAGAGCAGAAACCTTTTCTTTCTCCTGCAGGTGAGTGAGCGAGCTTCACCGAGGGACTTCAGCTGATGCGGGATTTGATTTACTTCATGTCGCCTTCCTGAAGAGTTATCGTCTGAAAATACCACCACCCGAAAAATCCTCACGCAGCGAGAAAAGGACCAAACGCCCACAAATACAAACGATTTCCACCCCACCCCACACGTCAGAAAGAAAAGAACAATGTCATCAGCATGTTTGTTCACCTGTACCTTTAAACATCGTGAACACACTGTTAGCTTCCCTGCTGTGTCACTGAATGAGCTGTTGTCATGGTAACAGGGATTCCAGTGTGATATGTTCGTGTGTGTGTGTGTGTGTGTGCGCGCGTAGGGAAATGGGTGTAAGAGTCTCATTGGCACCACTGGTCTCTTAATAAAATCCAAACTCAGTTTTTGGAGGAGAAGGTCTCAAACTGGAGCTGAACTGAGGCAAAAAGCGGCGTGGTGTCTCCTTGCTGTAAGGCCGGGCCGCCTCCACCGGCTCCTCTCGTGCAGATATCTGCTGACGTCAGATTGTTTCACACTCCTTCTACATGAAACACACACACTTGTAAACATTAAGGATGTAGGTCAGAGCTTTATGACCTTGATGTTGGGGACCCAGAGCCCCGCAGAGATCCATCTTTACCGTCTGATCCGGGACCGTGGTCCACAGATCAGGACTGAAACTCATCGATGGGACTCCCAGGCGTGACGCTCTGCACTTCCAAATAAAAATAAAAAAAGGCAGTGTAAAAAAAACTTCCCTGCCTCAATATGTTCTTCTTCACTGAGTGGAAACGGTTTGAAGAAATGCTGGGGAACGTTTTCTTCTTCTTTCTGTTTAAGACCGAATGATGCGTCAGTGATATTCCGTATTTTTAACATCAACAAATCTCCTAAAAAACTGCCGAACCAGAAAATGAACCAGTCCATCAAGGAGGAGTGATCCTGATCCAGATGTTCTGACTACAGGTCGTTTCCTTCACATACCGAATACCGAGTACACCTCGACTACTAATGCAAATTAAAGACTAAGTAATAATGAAGAAAAAAACCTGTGATCGCTCTGACTGACACTGTAGGCTCCTTTTAGACCCTACATGTTCTTTATTAACGTCACACATTCATTTACTGAAGGGTTTAGAGGTCGATACCGGCTGCTGCGTTTCAAACAGGACAATACCGAGCAGCTAGAGATGCACCTGTGGGGGAAATCATGGCCGATTCTGATGTTTGTATTGTGACTTCTTCCGGTGTCAGACTCCCACAATGCAACATTTTCTCTCATGTTTGACAATGAGAACAAGTCACAGTTCGTCCAACAGGTGATTTCTTCTTCTCTGAATCAGCAGTAAGGTGAACTACACGCCCGCATTAAGCTGCAGCTTTTTCCTCCTTTTATGAGATTGTTGACTTCATCAAAAAATACTAAATATCAGCGACGTCTTCGTTAAGCTAAAGTGGATGGAGATAAAACATTCAAAAACACACCACCACAGCCTCCACTCGTGTTTTGAATTTTGTTCTAAAATGTGTTCATCAAATAAAAACACGACCTGAATAAAGATGTCTCGTGTCATTTCCTCGAGCTGTGTGTTGAGTGTGTCGTCGTAAACAGCCCTTGTGTGTTTCTAACATCTGCTCAGGTGTAGCGCGGCTCCCAGTCGAACACAAGCACTCGGCTGGTTAGTCGGCGCCATGTGAACAAGTAGCTCACGCTGTGCGATTGTCTATAAGAGGAGGGACTACATTATGCATATCAGTGATGATCTCTACAACAACAACAGGTTGACGAGCAGGCGGGATCACGTGCTTACACACATACACAGTATATAGCTGCATCATGATTCCTCTCTACGTTTGGCACTGGAAAACAAACCGCAGGGTGGGGGGGGGGGAGTTGACAGTTCCTGGAAGAGAAACAAAAGACCACAACAAATACAAAAAGAGAGAGAAGGCTTCTGATTCTGGGGGGCAGAAGGTGTCTGATGAATTCGAAGTTAAGGGAGGTAGATGGACTGGATTACTTCACAAGGCAGACAGGCAGCGTCACGTCAGTCACCTCATGATGAACTTCAGCCGGACTCAGACGACAGGAGGTTTGAAAACCACCGATTCAGAAAGCAGGTTGTATCGAAAGGAGGAACTAATAATCTCACACTGCAAGATAATATTTAGATTGTCGTTTGAGTCAGATAAACTTTGCACCTCCTCGTGCAAGCTGGGAATCCATCTGCTATCATCTGATGGGTCAGCTGGGAGGAACGGGAAACTTTTGGGGCTTCTGGTGTGACCGAGTTAGCAATAAAGGCCTATAAGTAAAGACTTTTTTCCCCTTTGAGAATAGAGAAGTCTAAGAGCGGATTGTTGGCTGCGTTTGCATGCAGGTGTCTCTTTAGAGATCATTTGATGAAGAGATGTGCGCGTTAAGTCGACTAAACCTTTTAACATGTTCACCCTCTCTAGTCAGCACCAGAGTTACTAGGCGGTTAAATTCATTCTTTGTAATTTGGGCTTCATTGGCGGTGAAATGTTATGCTCAAACTGCATAGCAGCCACTTGCCTGTAGCCAGAGCTGCAGCTTTGCTCTCTACTACCCCGATGTAAACAAGCACGTGAACAGATAGCACCTGGTAGGAGCACCACAGTTTGGCAGTGTTTGATCTAGGAAAGGGAGATAAAAATATATGTAGGCTGAGTCAGGCTCAACGGGCAAATATGCACCGGAGCGACGAGTAACCAAATTCAGCTCAGGCACGTGGACGTTAACCTGCAGGGAGGATCCAAGACTGGCGGTGCTAGTGCTGCTAACATTAGCAAAAATCTGTAAACCAAATTATAGTTGACAGTTTTTAAAAAATTGAGCTCAGCTTTGACTGTTTTCAGAGTGTTTGCTGATCTTTAGATTGTTTCATTAGACTGACGAGGCAATTAGTCGTCAGGGGAACGTCCCTTGTTAAGACAACAATACTACTTTAGGGTTAACCACCCAGAAGCTAGAACTCTGATAACAGATCGTTGCAGATTCTGCAGTTTTGTGTCGAGTCTTGGATCGATTACTCATGTTTTTATATTTTCACCTTTATTTAACCAGGCAGGTCATTAAATGTGAATGCTAATGATCCCAGCTGATCTCAGAGGGTAGGAGATGTTACAAGTTTGCCTTAAAACCTGCAGCAGTGATTCTCTGAAACTCAAGTAGAAGGTTAAATAAAGTCGGGACGGGAGGCAGATTGTTTACTCGTCAAATAGAAGTGGAGGTGAGATTGTACCTGCTAGCTTCCAGTCAACAGTAGCATGCTAGTTAAGGTTAGCATCTCCATTGCTACTTTCCTGCTTGGAATGAACAAAAGTAATCATCCAGATTTGAACATGTCTGATAACTTTGAGCCAATGAGGAGAGTCGGTTGATTAGAGCGCACAATTGATCAGATCATCAGCGAACAGCTGGATCAACCGAGACCCCAAAACCAAATTGGATTAAATTGCCCTGATCCTCCTGAAGTCTGAGCCCGGCCTTCCAGACACTTTGCAGCAGCGGGACGTTAGCAGGGTTATGATGAAGAATGAAACAAGGTAAGCGATGAAAGCCAAACAGAACCTTTCACGAGCATGGCACCCCTAAAACTCTCTGTTGAACACCAGAGTCCAGCGTGAGCTCTGCCCACTTCCCAAACTGCAAAAGAAACATTGTCCTCATCTGATGGACACGTTTGTGTTTTATGTTCATGTTAAACAAACTCATGAGCATCTCAGTCTCCAGAAGATTCACATTTGTCCTCTCCGGGGGAGATCCGCTGAGTGTGACATCGTGATGACATCATCAACAAAGAGGTCAGCTCTCAAGACCTTTGGCTGAAGTCCGTGTCTCTTCCTGTGCTTAAGATTAGAAGTCTATGATTATCATAGGCTGATTGGATTTCTAGAGAGGCTAGAAAGAAGACAACAAAAAGGTGTCAACAATTTCGGTCTCGCACGACCAGCGTCTCAAGGGTTAAAACATCCCAGAGGGCTCGCGGTGTCCCAGAAGTCCCTGCGCAGGATTATTTTGGTCAGAATGAACTTGAAGAATGTGGAAAATAAATCCCAAAACAGATCCAAACTCTGAAAACCGTCGTCTGGAGCTCAGTTATTAAGAGAGAGATTAAAATGTCCTGAAACAGAGCGAGGAGCAGCGTCAGCCGTGAGAGGAGAAGATCGGCCTGCTGATGTTGCTGTTTGTTGTCATGGCAGCCAGCTCCCACCTGGAGGGAAGAACAGAAACAATCTGAGACAAGAACCTGGGACACCTTCACATATCTACTCTGGACCGAAAAGCAGAATTATAAACAATAACTCTTTAAATAATAATAAAGCTGAAATCTGAAACGTCGTCCTGCTCGCGTTCTGGAGGAACATCTCTCACACCTGATCTCAAATCCTTAATACGCCCCTGGTGGCGCTTTTTGGCATTACTGGAGAAAACGATGCACACCTGACTTGACTAAAGCGCTGCTCACTAAAGGTCCTTTACCTTTGTCCTGACCATGTGTGAGGTACTTTTAACGATGGAGAGCTGTTGACCTCACCTCCCCGTGCTCGATGTTTAAATCAACATTACTTCCTGTTAACAGCTCAAAAAGATCTGCTTCTCTGTCGCTGGCTGCAACAACAAATCCATTTGTTTGTATTTTACTCCTGTGTTGACGTAATGAATGAAATCATTATAACATTTTGGAAAACGAGGAAATGAGACATGCATGTGCCTTCTGCAGAGTTTTACTGAACATGTTCTTATTTGTCTAAAATATATTTTTGAGTAAAAAAAAAACAACTCATTGTCCTAAACTAACAGAACCAGGAAGTGGAAATCAAATTGTGTGAATCGAGAAGTCACATCGACTCGATGCTCTACCACACAAAACGGCTACAACGCGCTCAGTGCCGATGCAACACTGGCGTTCTCCTCCACGCGGACGGATTCAGACTGCGCTGGGAACTGTGGATGTTGTCCACTGGATTATTGGATGATTGTGGATGACGGAGGTTTGATTTAACTCAAAGGTGTGCAGTGATGTGATTGTGATTCAGAGGCAGGTTCTATTATCTCTGTGACATTCACTCCGCCCGCCCTCCCCCCTCATCCCCCCTCCCCTGAGTGAAGGACTACAATGTGGAGGACGCTGAGGGACGGCCTCGCTGTAACACGAGAACCAGGAGCAGGGACTGACCACAGAGCTGACCTGCTGACAGGGCAGAGGTTGAGCTGCAGATTGTTATCTCTGGCTCTGGTTTCACACTCACTCCTTCTCAACTCATCTGTTGGGGTTTTTGTTGTCGTTGTGCGAGCGGCGTGTGTGTTTGGAGCTGGAGATGGCGGTGAGGGGCAGAGGGAGTTAACGTGAGTGTTGTGACCTCAGCCAAAACCTTCGGAGGGCAAAGTGTGGAGCGTGCAGGTAGCAGCAAGAGAAATGAGACGCTGAGAGGAGTAATTAGGATCCAGTTACAGAAAAAGAAATCACTTTAGTTCAGAAGCAGCCGTCTAATGAGCCTCGCCATGAGACACGTTTATCAAGAGAGAAACGGTGGAATGAAGAGTCAAAACGTCAAATCATACGAAGGACAATACGTCGCTCCTGATGCTGAGACGAGTAAACAGACTTTATTAAATGTGAACCTGCTCTTTGAAAACAAACAGTGTGATCATTTCCTCCAAAAAGCAGAATGTTGACGGAGTTTGTCTGACAGTAAAGGACGGAAACTTTACGTATTCTGACGATCGATGTTTTGAGCTCCAGCATGAAAACAAAAACAAATCCAATCACCTTTTAACGAGACTAAGTTTGAACTTTGTTTTTCTTATAAAACATTTACCTGCAGGTCTGTGAGGCACCTTTAATGCACATTAACTGATTTAGGCCCCATAGCCCTTTTTTTTGTTACAATGTTACAATTCACTTTGCAGACGCTTTAATCCAAAGCGACGTACATCAGAGAGACACATCGGACATGTTGCTCAGCTGGGGATTGAGCGCAGCGCTGGCTGTGCTCTGGGGCGTTTGGATTAAGCGTTGTGCGCTGAACAAAAAATGAGTCCTGTCTCTATGACAACAGTGACTTAAAAACAGTCTCTGTGTGACTGACACTGCTCCGTCAGTGTTTTATATTTGAGATTGAGCATCAAGCGGAGGATATTTGTCCTCTGACTTTGTCTGAACACGGGGTGAGGAGGATGTCACGACCCGTAGGAGACAAAAACATATCTTATATCTTACATTTTGAAAAGAGGGCCGTTGACTTCAACAGCACCTTTCTAAAAAAGTTGAAAGATTTTCAACTTGAACGATCGGAGCGTCCATACAAAAAAAGCAGAGCGATCAAGTAAAAGACGCTAGGTGCTGTGATTTTTCTTCTGACGTAAATCTGCTGCTGCAAATGCTCTCTCCTCATTGAAAACAGTTTGAGGAAAAAGACGCTGGCACTCAGAAAAAAACACTAGGTGGACACGGGGCCTTACAGCCTGAAATGGACTTCATCTGTTTCACTGTGATTATCTGTTTTCTTTGTAAAGACTGAAAAGTAAGGTCACATCACTCTGAGTAATGGATGAGAAATAATGAGTTCTCATTTTCCTCTTTGAAAAACAGCCTCATTAGTTTTGAGAGAAAGAGAGAGAGAGGAAGAGAGAGAGAGAGAGAGAGAAAGAGAGAGATAGAGAGAGAAAGAGAGAGAGAGAGAGACAGAGAGGAGAGAGAGAGAGAGAGAGAGAGAGAGAGAGAGAGAGAGAGAGAGAGAGAGAGAGAGGAAGAGAGGAAGAGAGAGAGGAAGAGAGAGAGAGAGAGAGAGAGAGCGAGAGAGAGAGAGAGGTGGTGACAGTAACACAAACATCTTGAACAACAATAAGTCAACTCAACGAGCCGACAGCTCGGGTGAATGAGAGGCGGTCGCTGCTCTGACCTGATGTCGTGCGGAAGTCCTGATTGCTCCAGACTGAACTGAATAACAGCTATTTTGCATAACGTCTTCAAATTAGGGCCTAAAAGACAAGAGAGAAAGAGTAATGAGTCACAGACGGATCATAGACAACAATCATGCAGAGGAGAATAAGAAACATGTCAGCTGAGAGAAATCAAGGTGGACACAGGAAGGTCAGAGAGGAGACTCTGTGGTTAACCCTGAACCGGTCTCGCCTCAGGTCTCACCACTAACTCCTTCAAGAAAAATCACGACGTGACCTTCTGATATTTTTCATCCATTCAGATTTATTTAATGAAAGACTGTGCAGTCTGGACCTCAGATGGGCAAACATGTAAAAAACGCTTTTTAGACTTCCTGACACATTCACGACCCACTGAAATGGCTCCAGGACCCTCTTCTGGGTCCCGAACCCCCAGTTGAGAAACACTGCCATACAGATCCAGAAATGTGTCCTATAGTTCCCTTACACCACAAGGAAGTGTCTGAAGAGTTAAATCATCTCATAATAATCCTCATATCTAATTTTGTTTACAACCATCCTCTCCTTCACTTTCTCCGTCACGGCTTCTCCACCATATGTTCAGAGAGACCCACGCAAGCGGCACGTGGAGGCGTTTGCCGCGGGGGAAGCCACGGGTACTGGCAGTCCCAAACGGCCGCTGTGTCAGTCCACCTACACAAACTTTGACCGCATAGCAGGAAGAGGCTATATTTGGTCGTCCACGAGACGGAAGGGCCCGACATGACGGCTCGAGGATGACACGAGGCCAGGTGAGAAATAACGGAGTGGTGGAAGGAGGGCGCTGCTTTGAACTGGGATTCAAATACTGAACTCAAAGCGATAATCGCCCACTCTCTCTTCCAAACATTTCCTGTCTCTCTTTATCCGTCCTATCAAATAAAATAGGCAAAAATAGATTTAAAAGAAAGGAATTGTCATAACTTTATTTATTTAGCATTTGAAGTCTTTACCATTAACCTCTTACTGGAGCAGCTCAACTGACAAAGGTGAAGACCAAAGTACATGGTGACTTCATATAAATGTAACAAGGAGAGACCTTCTTAAAAACATCCTGCTCCAAACTCCGTCCTTCTCCAACGAGCTGCTGCGCTGACGGAAATCTACTGCAGCCAATAAACTAACTGTTAAGAAAAAACGATGCCTTCAAGCTCTAATAAAACACAGGAAATGAAAGAGATACTCACTGAAGTCTAAGATATACAGGTCTGAGTGGTCCATGAGGTTGAATTCATCACCCATTCCTTGCTCGGGACACGGGCTGTGAAGAGAACAGAAACAGTTAAGATCAGACCCGGTTATTCCTGGAGCTGTGTGAGTGCAGGCCAGCGGGGAACGGGCTTAAGCGCAGTACGACTTTGCTGAGTGTGAGTGCTCCCTTAGTCATCATCCTTGTCTCTCTGTACCTGCACCCTGAAGCCCAGAGTTCATATGCAGACCAAAGGGGGTGCACAGGGTCTGTTGTAATCTTGTTGGCTACATTCAGGGTGTCTGTCAGGTACCGGTCTGTCAGGTAAGAAACGCTGCACATTTGCTTCCCGGTTATCTCGCTGCCTAGTTCAAGGACCTCGTCCAGTTTGTTCTTATTTTGTACGGACGATGCTCCTCCCCCCACACTGAATACGAAAGGTCAACACACTTTCAATGAAACCCGCTGTCAGAGAGGCTCTGTTCAGCTTTTGCAAATCTTGTGTTAGTGTTAGCAATCCATGTCGGGTTGGAAAGGGGGATTTATCTAAGTGTGTACACCGCTTTACTCAGAAACACACAAAAATGAGCACACACAAAGTCCTAACTTTATGTATTTGATTATTTTCCACACATTACTGTAACTGTTGTTGTTTATAAGTTTCCTATTTTCTTGCTTATTTGGTATTTTGTGTCTCCTGCCTGTCTCAGTTTATCATGAATTTTAAAAAAAAAGGTTTCTGATATGCTTCAAATGACACACCCGTCTTCCTTCACTGTCTTCTTCCTTCAGTCATTGAGGTTCTTAATGAAGGAACCACAGACTGTTTTAAAAAGGAGCAGCTCTGCTCGCACAGTGCTCTGCTCTCTTATCACGAGCTGGCATGATTTAAGCCCACAGGATGTACAGCGGTGCAGTGAGACAGCAGGCTGGCCCACACTGATAGTCTCACAGACCTCTGCAGTCTGAGATATCACTGAACATCTGTTTCCTGCTTCGGCTTTACACACGCACACACACACACACACACACACACACACACACACACACGCAGACACACACACACACACACGCACACACACCTGTGGCACACCTGGTGCACTGCAGCTTAGACAGCTTAGCTGTATCACATCTCTTGTCAGTCATCTTCTTTGCATCAATAATTAAAATGCAAAACGAGGATGCTGCTTAATAACACAGCTGATAGTAACAGGCTGCAGCCTGAGGGACCTGAGCAAGACTTTAAGAGGCATTTAATCCCAAAAGCAAGTCAGTAAATTCTTCTAAATGCACATCATTGCTTTACATCCCTAACAAAAGAGCACCAAGAGACGTGTCCAGATTAGAGGATAAAAATGCACTCTACAGTTTAACACGACCCCGGGGACAGTTTCAGCCAGACAGGTGCATTTACGGGCCAGTTTATCGTCTATAAATATCCATCAGGGAGAGTTACTGAGGGGCTTTGTACCAAGGTTGAGTCCTTAAGAATAGCTTCACAAATGTTTTTCTCAAATGCATGAACTGTCCCGTGAATGGCGTGTATCCACCGACCGCCACTTCTAAAGCATCCTCGAGGCGATTTAGCAGAAACCACTTGTTTGAAGAGCTCTCAATGACATTTATTTTATTTTCCTTTTCTTGTCTCTCTCTTTCCCCATTTTTCATTCTTCCACCAAACGACTCTCTCTCTCTCCGTCACTGTCCCTCCACCCATCAATCTCTATCCCTCTTTCCCGCTGTCTCCTCCATCGCGTCTCCCTTCGCTGCGTGTTCAGGATGTTGTAAGGGTTTTACGTTGCTAATCTTCCCTAAACAAACAAGGCGATGGCTTAAAGCGGCCAGCAGAGGTGCAGAGCACGAGCGCAGTCGTCCCAGGGGGCCAGCTGGGGAAGTCATTACGCCCCCTCCTCCCCCTCCAGGAGGTGATGGACCGGGGGCTTTAACTTTATCAGAATACCCTCAATCACCCTCCCCCCCTCATTATTAGACCGTCTACTCGTGGACCTGCAGCTCAGGGCTTGAGGTAACATTTCTGAAGTGATAAAAGTTTAGTTTTCAATCCTGGCTCATTTCAAAATAAAGAGGAAGAACACAAGAATCAGGATACTGATGGAAGACATTAATGGAAAGAGACGACCAGCTTTGTAAAAATTAAACATAAGAAATCACTAAAACCTCAAATCTAGAATTGATCAACACCGGTCAGAGACTTTATTTATCTCGGCAAGGTGCTGTTGACATCACCAGCGCTCTTTTCCAAATGCATGACATTCCCCCGTAATTTGTCTCCTACAGATCGTGTCTTGTACCCACATCCACCTGGCTCCGTTTCTGATAAGAAAAATAACATTTAATAAAATGTAACAGAGCTGTGTCGGTCATACAGCCGGCATTGCCAACAGACTGTTGTCATAGAGACAGGATGGACGTGCAGCGTTTTTCTTCTCAGCGCACAAACGCTTCAAGCCAACACTCCCGAGTGTACAGCCAGCGCTTTGACAAAACGCCAGGTGGACACGGGGCCATACTGACGCTCATTACATAAAGTTACATTCAAAACTTTGGGTTTAAGGTGGTGGAATTAGACAACAGAAAATAAGTAATGACAAGCACCATGTGTATCTGAAGAGCGCGCCGCAGTAGCTGTCGACTACTGTGCACGCTCCGGAGGAGAGGAGGGAAAGTCCTCGTGACGACGACGCGTGAAAGAGTGAAGATAAGAGCAGAACAGGAGCAACAAGAGAGAAGAAGATCTATCTCCTTGCTGAGGTATTTTTCTAGGACGAGTCTTTCTCGCATGCTCATGGATAAAGTCGGGCTGGGTGTGAATTTTAGCAGAACATTACGGAGAAGTAATGATTTAATGATCACCACAAAGAGCGAGAGAATGAGGGGCATCGTAGAGGCAGGAGAAGGTCAAAAAAAGAAAAGGTGTTAAGAGGTGTGGTGAGATAGACCGGCAGTAGTTGGAAGTGGAAAAGTCACAGTGAGCGACTTTATGTGGCGTCCTAGTGTTTGATGGCTCACTTTGTTACTCGATCAGGGAAGTATCAGAATGTGTGAAAGTGGTTCCTCCCCCTGCAGCAGCACTGGTTCCCAGTCTGATGAGGCCTGAGTGATGCCGCTCCCCCACTAAAACAACACTGGTTGCTATTTCAAACAACACTGAATGAGGGCGTCTAATCACCCAATTGCCGGTCCTTTGTAGCAATGCACTGCCTGCCCCACCTCATTATCTTACAGGTCTCTGAACGGCACAGTCCTAAAACTTACTGCTACAACATCAGAGTCTGTAAATACTCTAACGTCTTAAGAAAACAGACACAACAATGCAAATGAAGTGTGAGTGTTTGCACAACATCATCAGTAACACCTCTGCTTTCTAAACACAATCAATAAATCTGGACCCGTCGTAGGCGTGTTTTCAGAGGCTTCATTGGCCATATCCTCATTCTTAGAGTGATTAAATCTGCATCCTTTTTCCTTTCTCCACTTCCTATTGAACTCTGGTCCTTTAGACTCATGCAGCTCACAGGAACTCATCGTACACTACAACTTCCTGCAGAGCTCCTTATCAGGACGCCAGACGTGACTCCAGGTAGTTCAGAAACACTGAACACACATATCACGCTTTTGTATTAAGTGTGGTCTTCTGTTAGGAACGTTCATACACTGCATAAGCAAACATGACAAGATATGAAGCTTTGGGGTGAGGGGACATTTATTACTGACAGAATTAAGTCTGTGAAATTACTATATTAAGATCTCCTATAGATATGGTAAGAGGCTAAGGGCGCACTCACACTAGGTTATTTGTACCCTGCCCCAGCACGCTTCAGCCCTAAAGTCCAGTTCGTTTCACCAGTTTGAGCGCTCCGATCCATGCACTTCCTTGGCCCTGGCACGCTTCCAATATGAAAGCACGGGTACACAACGTGGACAGCCTTCATTATGGAGAAATCCCGGAGTGTTCTGTCTGTATCTGATTAACATGACTCAAAATAAGACACAAAGTCAGTAAAGTAGCCGTCATGTTCCCTAAATGAATATGTACAAAACAATGTGAAAACTATTTCCATTTTCTGGTGCAACTCGGGAATAAGTTCTACAACGTACAATGCATAACATATACTGTATTTATATTTATTAATATCTTTGTTTTCACCTTTTGTTATGAGGATATAAGTGTGGGCGTGTTTACAGGAAGGTTGTATGCCTATATAAGTGAAAACTAGAAATTTTATGGGTTTTTAAAAAAAAAAAGGTTCAAATGAATAAAAATGCTCAGAGTGATGTGACAACAAACATGAACCGTTTGTAGATCGTTTCGAAACTGAAATGCAACACAGACCCCTGCAGACGGACAACAAGCCCCTCCCCCGTCAGGAGGCTTTAATAAACACAGACAGACCGCAACCACAATCATTCGGTAATTTAAGGAATTATTTTCCTTCTATTTTAACCGTCACTTTAAAGCCAAAAAAGGAGTAAGAGCTTGCAGCCGCTCTGGAGCTAAACCTTCTTGTTTATCACAGATCGATGGATTCCCGTCCATTTCTTCGACCTTAATCTCTGCTGCCTCACCTCGTCTTACCGAGCTATCTGTGCCCCCTCCCGGGCAGTGGCTGGACGGTGGATTAAAACCTGTACCTGCCCAGACTTAAGCCCCATGCAGAGGGTGAGACACAAACTACAGCTGGCTCCCAGAGAGAGACGCCTGGCTTCAGATTAGAGCGCAGAAAAGACAGCCGCTTACAGCATCTCAAATTGCAAACCCACCCCCACCCCCCACCCCTGGACAGATGTAGTTGGACTTGGTGCTGATGTTGGAGGGAAAAGCTGACCCTGCTAATCTCCAGAAAATAAAAATGTCGTCCATTTTATCAGGACAGGTTTTATCAGCCGAGCTGTGTGTAAAAAGTTCAGGAGGAGACGTTAAATAAAGTGCCAGAGGACCTTGAATACAGCTGGTGAATACTCTACAGGGCAGGACAGATGCTCCTCTGGAGCTGGGGGATTCATTTAGGAAGAATAAGTGACTTCCTTTATAGCTTCAGTCTGAGGACTAG